TATAGGTCCTTCTCACCCAAGCACCTGATTCACTATATGGATAGAATCTTTGCGGATGAGGGGGGATAAAGGTATAGGGAAGCACAATAGATCCCAATGGGTCGACGTGCATTGCGCCCATGCTCGGTCCTAAATAAGATAAGATAACCTGTAGAGATGAGGATCTTGACACACCGATGCTGGTTACGCTACATACCTACCTTCCAAGTGCTTCCCCGTAGCACCGCCCCACACTGGGAGGGAAGATAAAACGGGTCTGATACTATGCTACATTCCTACCTTCTAAGTGTTTACCACCTAGTGGGGGGCCACCCATAAGGTGGACCGACGACATCATAAATGAAGGCGCTGGACGCAGGCTGCTACCAACCGGGCAACATGGGAAGCATTGGGGGAGGCTTATGTTCAGCAGTGGACGTCCAATGGCTGAGATGATGATGATGGGGGGTCTGCCCTGCCACGCTACGTCTTCCGGCCCGTGGTCGACTCGAAACTATTCTGCCCCAACTAAAATCTTCTAAAGTATAAATTACCTTACCAGATGAGCAACGAAGTGACAGCTGTCGGCGAGGCGGCGCTGCTGCGGCGCGCGTGCGACACGTTTGCGACTCGCTTCGGGCGCGCGCCGGCCGCGGCTGCGTGCGCGCCGGGCAGGGCCAACCTCATGGGCGATCACGTGGATTATTGTGAGGGCTTCGTGCTGCCTGTGGTCAGTATCATCATTATTATTTTTAAGGCTGGTTTTGTAGCGATCAGAAAATTTTTTTTGCTATTAGACGAAAAAAAAAATATTTATATATTCTACGAGAGTGCCCATCGTGCGAGACTTTGCTCTAAGGTTGCAATTGTGACATGACCTTATTCTACAGTGATGCCAACTTGTGAGGGCAAATTCGATAGCCCTTATTGAGGGGTAGTTCTACTAGGCGGGTGCAGTGCGGATTAATAGAGTGTGACGCGCCCCGCGACGCATCGACAGCCCTAGCACCGAGCGCAGAGATTTTGACAACCCTACGGCTGCGCGGCCGCACGCCGCACGGACCGAGCTAATATAAGAGACGGCGGCGACCGCGGGCGCCTAGCATTCGCTCGGGAGCCATTGCAACAGCCAGACGTTCGCGCGCGCGTCTATCGTTCCCTCGGCTGCATTGCACAGAGTCCCTAGCGAATAGCTATCCACATTGTTCCTTACTAACCCTAACTGTTCGACTCTGGCTTGATCCGATACCTCGTCATTAATCCGCGGCTTNTCCGTAAAAACGTATGATAATTACTATGATATAAGTCAAAAGAAGCTATAACAATAAATTATATGACTAAAATCATTTCGAAATCTGCCAAATTCTCGATTTCTGCATGAAAAATGTGACAACGCTCTTAAAGAGTGTACCTACTTTGCACATGTATATGTCGTTGTAGACTTTTGCAATGCCGCATTTTATTTGCAATATATTACTTAGATAATAGGCCTCCAAAAATATCTACAGAAGCGAGTGAGGTGATATGAACCCATAAGAACCGTCAAAGATGAATCAATCACTATACCTGATGGTAGCTGAAATGGAACTGTAGCCCCACGAAATAAGACTCACAACAACTCATGACAAATGACACTTGTTAAAGGTTAACTAAACTCGTAATAACATCACGTCATGTCATATCCTCGTGAATGAGAGCTGCATGAACGGGCTGACCAGTGTTGCCAAGAGTCGGAGCCAAGTATTTTAATTGCCAGCTTTGAGGCCGAATTAATAGCAATGGTTCGCAATTACAGTGACTGATATAAGTTTGATTGCAGATATGTTAGCGATGGGTTCTGCCAAAAGTATTATAGCTCTAGCATTATAGTATACTTTATAGGGTCTTTTGATTCAAACTTGCTAGCTAATATGATCTAGTTTAATACATGGATTAATTGTGATTTGATTTGATTTATTTATGGAGAGGCCATTTTATAAAAGTAAGTCCTCAAAATATGTGTGTCTACTTTGTCTGCTGTTACACTTAAACACTTAAAGGCGTTATAATATGGGACGAAAAGTATGGATGGGTTTCATTAGTTAGGTAAGTAGGCATAGTTTATGCTTTAGGAAAGAAATAAAGATGGGGATGAGGGTCGCGCATCGACAATTTGTGCGCGCCCGTAGCAGGCTTCGGTGATTCGGTATCAAAAAGCAAATGCTAGATCATAGTAAATACAAGTACAATCTAGATGACCGACCTTTGATTAAGAAACTATGCAAAAATATGCTAGTTTTATCCGCTTTCCTTGATTTGCTTTGCTTTCCTTGTAATTTTCATTCAGAATCCCAATTCAAAGCGTCAAACCAATAAATAAGACTGGTACTCAATTATGATTAACAGTCAAACCTGCCGTCACTTAGCATAATTTTAGATTCAAGCATCAAACCCGCTAATCGCTCTATAAATTCCGGCTAGGAAGCGACTTTGAAGTCGCTGCGGGCAGCTTTATTGAGCTACACATTGTTTTGTTTTAACGCATTATTTATGGCCTGTTATTGAGTGGGCGATGTCCTATAAAGAGAGAGTTTGTCTATGGCTTATACTACATAAACTAGATATTTTGTACGTGTATTGGGAATTTCTCTTTTATAAGATTCTGTAGATAAACTTTTCTTATGTGAATTCCACAACAGACCCCTGGAAACCGTGCGGAAAAGTAGATTTAAAAAAAATTGAAATGGGGATAAGATTTTAAACTTTCGCGTTCCATTTCAATTAAAATAGTAAGACACGAGTCTTAACGCGACGTTTATTAATGAGCTGTTATAGATGACCCACGCTGAACTGTCCCGCCAAACTCAATGACAGGGGGGCGCTACCATCGTTCAACTATATGGTTTCCAACATGGCAAAAATCTGAACCAGCGATCCGGTATTGACGGTGGCGCCCCACTGTCAATGTCATCGACAGGACAGTCCAGTATTTTGGAACTATACATTATGTACTCACGGCTTGACGTTTCGGTTTACTATTTTAATTGAAATGGAGATAAATTGTTTTAAGTAAGTAGTTGAATGTTACATGCAATCAAGGGTGTTAGCTTGTATCTCTTCTTAAAGATTGTATGTTTTGCACCTGAAATCATTGATTCATTCGGAATGTTGAAAAACGAGGCTCTAAAATCTTAGATGCATTCCAAATGCTCGAGTCCGTAAAAATCCAAATGTTTTCCGGAAGTTTTCAGGTATCTTTCCGGGTGCTTAACGTAGCCCAAAATATTAATTTAAAGCCAAACAATTACAAAATAGATTTTAATCGTGCCAACACCCTGACGTAACACAGCCGCCATTTCTTGTTCACAGACTGATACATCAGTTTGCTTACAGATATTTAATTTCCAGCAATTTGACCATTACAGCATAAAGAACTACCTACTTTTCACACAAAGTATATCAATCAAATAGGACGTGTGAATCATAACATTTGACGAGCACAAAATTGAACAAGCCAATACAATCCATTAAATGTGTTTACTAAGCGCTATTGAAGCTTCAATTACCATAGGTAGTGGTTACAAAACGCTAAGTCGTAAATTCTTGGTAATTAACTCCTACAGGAGAAATGTTTCTCACGTTTGTGATTTGTGTTATCTGTGGTACTATGAAAAGGCTTGTCATGTGTTTTTAGAATTCAATTTGACACTGGCAGGAGAAAGGAAAACATAAAAAACTTTATTAATACTTTTTCCTAACGTTTCAACTTTGATATACTATTTTAGGTAGATTATATTATATTTTTTCCTTTTTTCTTGCGTAATATAGCATACAGATTATATCCTAAATTCCCTCGGAATTAAAATGCATACTTACCTTATGTTTCAGGATCGAGAAATTAAGGCAGAAAAAAAACACTAGTTAGTATTTCCAATAAAATTACTCATTAATACTTTTAATTACGTTTATCATGCCATATAATAAATTTTAAAGCTCTAAAGTCTTTAACCTGTAAGATTTAAATTGTAAAGGTAGTAGCGCATCTACGTGATGAATTTACAATCGCACGTATTAACTGTCATTTGATTAGGAGGCCCTTTAATTAATGTCATGACCATGTTCATTTGTTTTTAGGTCTGTCAAACATTAAAGTAGGTTTAAAGAACTTTATTCTCATAACAAATTTACATTTCACTTATAATGAGATACTAAAATATTTAATAAATAAATAAGTTACAAATTAGCCACTGGTACTAGTAGCTGCTAGCCTGCTATGTGTATCTTAAGTTTCTTTTTAAAAATATGTAAACTTTCACAATCCTTCAAGTCGTCAGGCAAACTGTTGAATAGCTGTGCTCCCTCAAACAGTACAGTTTTTGTTCCGTAATTGGTCCTTGGCGTTATTGTTTTGAGTTTAAATTTATTTCTTAAGTTATGTGTATTACTCTTTATGTTTATTTCTATATTAGTTAAAGTAGACAAAGCAAATATTAAGTAAAGAGAAATATTTAAGGCCAAAATTTCTAATTACAGCCAGCAAATTCAAGCTCTCTAATTACAAAGCTGTATTAGTTTCAATTGATATTATGACTCATAGATTACTGAATGGCTTAGTCACAAAGTTTCGCTATAATAATTGTAATATAATATGTCAAGAATCGTAACTAAAAACTTACGTACCCGTGTAACATAAATTTCTAATTTAGCAGTACAATCACTAGCAAAAAGTGTGACCTATTATTACGATTTAATAAGGTTTAAGTTCCAATTAAAATCATGTACATTTTTGCATATAACTATACAATATAATATGTACCTATTACATCTACAAGCATTCTCGGAAACACTTCAGTATAGCAAATCACATAAATTCTAATACGAAATCGTTTCCGAGCTGCATTATTTATAGTCCGACTATTTAACGGCTAGTCACTTTAATTGGGAGTTTTGCTTTGACGATTATACGCCAAAGATAAATCTGTTATTGTGTCTGTTTACTTTAAATTTAATCTTGGGATTATAGAGCTAGAGTTTAATTTTGAATGGATCCAATTCCAGGTTTATTTAGGTCTATCAAAGACTGCTATGGTAATAAAGTAAGGATCGCGACGCGTGCGCAGCCTCTTTGAACTCAGCTGTCATTGGTAAATGGATATCTGACTCATTGCTTTCATTGAATTTGATTTGTTATAGTTCAAGGTAATGTGAAAAAGGAACTTTAGGATTTACTTAATTAGGTTTTAAATCATTTGGATACCCAATTTTATTTTTAGAGTCACGAAGATTAGATAGTTTCTTGATTTAGGTAGAACAGTGCCTAAAAAGATAAGGCTTATCAAAACGCGTATATCTTGGATTTCATAAAATATCCCCCAATCCCATTGGAGACTTAGGTCCCTTCTTAAGTTAAGTTAAAGGGCGTAGATCTCAAGATTTAATGTTAGTTCATCCGTTTTGCATACATGATTTTAATAAATATTGAAAGCTAATGGTGTTTTTAAAGAGCTGGCTAGAATTCCATTACAGAGGTAGCACAATACTGTCGTATCTTAGTGGTTTGTTTAAGGTGCAGTTTTGCAACAAAAAGTGATCTAATATGCTGTCGACTGTACCAGATCTGTCAAAATCTTATTCTTCTTCCTCTTTGAGATCATTATCTACACTCGGCATCAAATAAATCGCACCTCCCGCGACAAGCACTTATCAAACGTATGCATCCCCACTTCCCACCAACATTGGTACCATTTGAAAGCCTAGTTCTAAACTTCATTTCATTAAAGGAAAGGTTTTTACCCCAAAAATGTGTCTTTAAAAGGATCCAGAGTCACTTCTTCAAAAAATAGGTAGTTATGCCATAGCCCTTTTTTATGACTATAAAACTGTTAAGTTGGTATTAATCGCTATCCATTTGTTAAAGAGGACACGTGAGATCTTTCCTTGGTTTTATAACCATAAAAAATGGTCTAATTGATCCCAGAGGTGAGCCCAAAGTGAGGTCTATTTTCAAGTCACATTTATGGTATATGTTAATCATTTATTTAGAAATGAAATGTATTTTTCTTTGAGGATATTTATTGTGCTTTCAAATAACACCAATATTGTTGGGGTACCATAATTGTGTCAGAAGAAAATCTTTAAAGTTCGCGTCGCGGAAGGTGCGGTTTATTTGATGTTGAGTGTATTATATTTCCCTTTAACATTCCTCTCTCTTCCAGATCCATCGAAACTAATAAAGAGAAAGAAATCCACCGAAGATGTCCGCTCTCCTTTGGGAGGAGAGGGCTCTCTCACCAGCGAGGAAGGAGAGGATCCAGGAGTCGGCAGACGGAAGAAAGCCAGGACTACCTTCACTGGGAGACAGATCTTCGAGCTGGAGAAGCTGTTTGAAGTGAAGAAGTACCTCTCTTCAGGAGAGAGAGCTGATATGGCGAAGCTGCTGAATGTTACTGAAACTCAGGTATGTAAAATTTTTGTTTTCTGTTCCCGAAGCTCGAACAAATATCGGTTTTGTTTAGGTTTGGCAATTTTTATTTTGGGTGAAAAAACAGCGCCGCGATGATGGTTTTATAAGGAACGTGCTTGAATAGATTTAGCGGCCGCCCGTGACTGTACGCGTGGATCCCGTTTTATCCCATTAGGGGAGGAGTTTCGTAAATTCAGTTCTTAGCAGATGTCTACACCCTATAAGGACCTACGATTACTATACGATTAGGAGAGTCATTCGTGCTTAGGACACGGATAACGGGACTATTACCATCTCTCGTTTCCACCGCTGTAACTCCTGTATAACCAGGATCTACAGTTTGAACGCCAATAATAACCAGGGGAAAAGTTAAACTGTCATTGGAACCGCAAAGAAATTATTCAGAATAACATAGGAGGAGTTTGAATTTAAAGTTTATCTTCCATGGATAGAATGGTTTTTTTTTTGTTTAGAGATATTATTTAAAAACAATTGCCCATTCCATTTCCAAGAGTGTCACCAGATACTGACAAGTACTACAATGAAAATGAAATAAAAGCCTACGATTTTCATAATAAAAGCTGATTGTGCCAAATAATAATTTAATTCCACTTTTTAACTCTTGATTTGTGTGAAACAAAAACGAGTTAATTAATTTAATTAATCCCAGTTTTAATTGTTTTTCGTGATACTGTGTAAAGATCTGATTTCAATATCAAATGTTTTCGAGTGGTTCAACAATCCGTGAAATCGGGAGGTCGGATTAATATTGTAACACGATTTATTTTTGTATACGAATGAAGGAAATAAGTTTTCCTAAAAACTCTCTATTACTCTTCATGTCTACTGTTAACAGTTTATTTATTATTTAAAGACAGCTAACAAGACATACACAATCAAGTGGAAAGATACATTGAAATTAAAATCTAAAATTTAACTTGAGAATTTAATTCAAGCCAGGAATCCAGCATATCAACTGCCTGTCTCAGAGAATAGTAACTGAAGGTTAGAATATACTTTATTGCAGTTTGATATCAGACCGCTCTGACTGAAATCTACATATAAGCTATGAGTTTGCTCTAAGATAAAAGAGAAGAGAAAGTCATTCAATATTTATGAAAAAGCAATATTGAGTGCATTTTAAAATCTGGCCCCCACTATCCAGTATTTAAACTTCTGCCCACACTTCATCCTCAAAAATAAAACTGTCACAGAGAAAACAAATTGTTTAATGGGTCGTCACATCATTAACAGCGGATTGTTGTAGCCGTTCCACGAAACGACCGGGAAATTAACGTTTTAAAGTGTAACCCGTAAGTCGTTCTTGTTATTCTTCATTTAGGGGATTTAAGTTACAAGCGGGAGATGGAGATGAGGGCTGTCGTTTTGTCAGTTAGCATCACTGGTGAGTGACAGGATCTTACTCTATTTTGGCGCCATCCTGGTGAGTCTAAGAGCTTCTAAAGATAGGTAAGCTTCTTCTAAGTCTTCCTAACGCTTTAGCACTCACCAATTGGCGTCACTATATTGGCCACTAGCAAGTGACAAAGTGGTAGAGCAAAAAAAGAATGATACTTTGATAAGGCTCCATAAGAGCATTTGACGATTTGTAAGTACTAATTTAATTAGTCTGCACAAATAAGATAATTTTTATTTTGATTTTGACAAGACCTTACTCTATAGTGGCGCCAACTGCTGAGCGCTAAAACGATAACCACTTGTTGGTACGTGTTTGAAATTTTGTGGCGCTTTTTTTTAGCTTCTTTCTGAATTACAACTGTCATGCTTGTAATTTTGTCTAGAAAGGCTGGTAGAGCAAAAACATTTTGCCACATTTAAAGGCCCACTTTCACTTTAAGGGCACTAACTTTTTGTGAAATAGTTGAAATATTTACCATTTGGTCATGCCAGCCGTAGTTGTAGCAGAAGACGAAAAATTAGTGAATGTTCTTCCTTTCTTTTCGCAAAGATTTGCCCCAACTTTGACATGTGTCCAATGTCCCTCATACCTTGGACCACACACGAGCCTCGTATAGTGGGATAATTATACTATCACCAAGGTGGCAGGGTTGGATGAGCTGTCCCCCGCGAGTGAGCCCCCACATATGGTGTCACTAATTACAACTACGCCACGCCCGTAAGGATGCCCGCACGGGTGACTTTTTGTCACCGTGACAGTTTAACAGTATATCTTGCTCTTTTGTATATTTTTACCCTTTTGTAAAAAGAAAAAGTAGTACGCAGAACTGACGGCCGATGGGGCAGCAAGGTTCTGCAGTGGAGGCCACATACCAGACAGCGCAGAGGACGCCTACGAACAAGATGGACCTCTGGCTATCATCCTATGGCTGAAATGATGATGATGATGATGACGAAAGAGAAGAAGAGAGACATCGTCATCATCATTGCAGCCTCAGGACGTCCATTGCTGAACATAGGCCTCCCCCAATGATTTCCACATCGCCCTGTTGAAAATGGCCTGCATCCAGCGCCTTCTTGCACCTATAAGGTTGTCAGTCCACCGTGTGAAAGAGAGACAACGCAGTCGTCGTCGTCGTCGTTTCAGCCGAAAGACGTCCACTCCTGGACAAAGGCCTCCCCCAAGGATTTCCACAAAGACCGGTCCTGCGCCGCTTGACAACGCAGTATTTATTCTTGTCTATGGAGGACATACTGTCACGGTGACAAAAGTCACCCGTGCGCGCGCGCCTCTAACATATTATCACGTCGATCTTTATAGCTACCGTGGTTTCGTCATCTCATCTATATTAATAGCTTTAAATTTGGAACTAATTAGGTGTTAATTAAATTTGAATTTCGAAACTTCGAGGTGTCATTGAGTCGATTTAGTTTTAATTTTATTTTAATTTTGATATTGGTTTTGGAATAGGAGACGAAATCTGATAGTCAACCTTCTTTATTAGTCATCAAATTTTTTCTTTTTTTTTTGTAGATAGAATAAAATTGCTAATTCGTCCTACTTTGGTCCCCCATTTAAGGATTCCAATGCACCAAATATCCCCATGGTTTGTTGAAAGATAATTAATTTGTCGCTATCCAACCTTCGTCACCATAATGACTGGTGTCCCACGTGTTCCGAACACCAAATAGGAAGCCAATTATCCCGAAATGTTGTCGTTAACAGCCCCGAAAAAAGATCGCAAAAAATACCTGACAAAAAAGTGACGCTTCTGTACGTTTAGTGAAGTTCAAAATTGGAATTGACTTTTAAAAATTAATTAACAATCATTTGATCGTAATTTGAAAATAAATCGGAGTTGCAAATTGATGGGAAGTTCAATTTACTTTGTGGATGCAGAAATAAAGTTTTATAAAGGAAGATATTGCCTTTACATTTATAATTTTATGATGTGCTTACCAAATTCGAATTGACGTCTAATATATTTTATAACGGCGATGAGTTTCTGTTATTTGCCAGACTTGAAATCTTTTAGTGCGAATATAAAACGCGTAAGATTAAACGTAGGTATTTTAATCCCAACTATCCCAACTAATATTATAAATGCGAAAGTAACTCTGTCTGTCTGCCTGTCTGTTACGCTTTCCCGCTTAAACCTCGCAACCGATTTTGATGAAATTTGGCATAGAGATAGTTTGAGTCCCGGGAAAGAACATAGGATAGTTTTTATCCCGGTTTTTGAAACAGGGACGCGCGCGATAAAGTTTTTCTGTGACAGACAAAATTCCACGCGGGCGAAGCCGCGGGCGGAAAGCTAGTTTCTGATAAAATTAAATGTTTAGATGAAAAATACGAGTATTTCAAGCGATATTGCAGAGTTGCAATTTTGTTTCATAGAACTATTTTAAATACTTGCACTATCAAAAGATGTATCATTCTAATACTTCTAATATCAAAAAAGTTTGTTTTGTAAAAATTACCTCTATGATGTTTTTTACATCAATGATTTGTTTTTCACTTCATAAAATAGTCTTTAGAGATGGTAAATGTTTTAAATTGATTTGTTTAAGTTCTACCGCAGTTTTAATTGGTTTGTTTTACGCTCTGTGTGTACTGTGTGTATCGAATTTCAAGCCTCAAATATTGATCTATTATAAAAACACGTTTCACAGAAGAGCTTATTTTATTTCGCTTACCACTCGTATACTATTACCGCACAGAGATGCGACGTAAATTTTTTTTGCCTGTTTTATGAACGTTTTTTAAGTTTTTTGGTTGTGTTTCATTAAAATAACAGAAGCGTATTTTAAGTTATATTTTTATCACTGATTTATTAATGAAGTTAACATGTTAATGAAAGAAAGAAAGAAAGAAAGAAAAATTTTTATTTGGTCCAAAACAATTTATACAATTTTACAGTTCAAAGAATTTGTACATGTTTGAACCAAAATGGCATCCGCTCAGCATTGTGTCCTGCTCTGAGAATTATTGAATTTTGAAACCATTTGAAAATCAGTACGCATAACATCCCGATATTCATAATAGTTCTAGGTCTGATAAGAGTAATAAACACTGAGCGGGTAATCCAGATATTTTTATTACTTGAAATGTATCAATTTATCAGTATTTTATATAGGGCCAATTAAAGATTATCTTTCTTAGTAACTGCTTTTAGTATTTAATGTAGAATACGAAAATTATATCGCTTGTTTATGTAAAAAATATTGTAACGGGACATTTCAAGTTATTCGATAGAACTTTCATGATTTGCTATTCCGATTATCATGCTGACAGATTAAGTTGAAAGACATGCTATTTTATAATAAAAATATACTCTCTCTACAAGACAAAGAACAAGGCACAAGCTGTCGATCGAAAAACATTTTTTCTGCACCTCTGTGGCACCCAAACGGGCCAGAGGTTATTTTATTCCACGATCTCCAAGCTCTAAACGAGACACTAATTGACGAGCCACTTCTCATTCCCGACCCGAAAACCGCAGTCGATATCAAACTTTATTACCGCGCTATAAAACACAAAATGCCACAGTGAGAAGTTGCGTTTAAAATGACTGTTGTTCTATTGAGCTATGCAGCGGGGTTCGGCTATACAGGGTGTTTAGGCGACGTGTAAACGTTAGCACAATTTTATTCAATGTCTTTAAAAGCAATAATAGCAGAACAGTGAAGGTTGAACAGGGGCCCCCTGCTCCTCTGAAAAAATACCCTAGATATTACGTCAATGGGTAAGATAAATTGTATTTGCAAACTAACTTAGATTCGTTTAAACCTAGGCGCAGGTCACCGACCTTTTGTCGGCCGTTAGTTTTCTAATTTATATGAAATCGAAATCGGTGTAAAGTGCGCACTTCCATACACGCCCATACTGATTAACTGTCCATTTTTGTCCAAATTTTGTGCTAGTATTCTTCTAGAACAGAGATCCGTAACCATAGATTGCTCACTGTACTACGAGTAAAACCTAACATATATCATTAATAAAATACAGCATTTATTAATCTTGTTGCAAATGCAATTTTATTATTATTCATAATTATTGTTTGAAATGTGTTTTTGTTCTGGTAGAAGAACATTAAAACTTTTAAGTATTGAGTAGTATTGGTTACCGGTAATTATTGGTTCGAACCGGTAAATTATAGAGAAACGTCTATAATTACTTTTTTAGTTCAGACTTTAGCTAAAAATTGTTTAAGTTTGTGCACAGCCTAATATCGACGGATTTGGCGATAATTGCGCCGATTCGAGGGGTTGAAATGTAAGCCCTTTTTAGTGTCCTAATTTGTCGAGTCCGACATTACAAACGATAATTGACTGTTTGCTAATTTTACAGACAGATCTATTTTTACTGTTTGTGTTTTGTTAGTCTCGTTCGAATATGTAATCGTTCCATTCAGCAACTTAAATCGGCCAAAGTTTATATTGAAGAACCACTGTATTAAGATGAATTGCCGATTATTTAATAAGTACATTAATTAGAACTAAGGGTATCGTTCAAACTTCTTTTGACTGCAAATCTTAGGCAGGTTTTGACCGGTTATGAGTTTGGACTGTAACTATGTAATGTTACAGTGTAACATTACATACATATTACAGTGTAACATTACATATTTATAAAACACAGGCTCATAAAATGTCCTCGAACAAAAATAAAACCTTCAAGCTTAGGCACAAACAGAAATAACAGCTTAATCTTTGAACCTCTCATCTTTAAACGCTTTTACGCAGAATCATTGCTATGTTTAGATTTGTGTAGTTGGTCCGGTCTATAGTTTGACACTGTGGGAGATTACTTAATGGGAAATGTAATTATGGTGTTGCATTCAATGTTTTTTAAGCTTTGATTGGGTTATAACTTAATACATGTTAGATTTATAAGCCTGAGTTGCACCACCTAACTTTGACTGTAACTATGACGATAACCGGTGTATTTTGTATGGAGATTGACAGATTTTTGACGTTTGTCAA